GTATTGAGTACTATTTTAACAGTGGTATTTCTATATCACTCTACAATTGATGTATTGAGTACTATTTTAGCAGTGGTATTTCTATATTACTTTACAATTGATGTATTGAGTACTATTTTAACAGTGGTATTTCTATATCACTCTACAATTGATGTATTGAGTACTATTTTAACAGTGGTATTTTTATATCACTCTACAATTGATGTATTGAGTACTATTTTAACAGTGGTATTTTTATATCACTCTACAATTGATGTATTGAGCACTATTTTAACAGTGGTATTTCTATATCACTCTACAATTGAAGTATTGAGCACTACTTTAACAGTGGTATTTCTATATCACTCTACAATTGATGTATTGAGTACTATTTTAACAGTGGTATTTCTATATCTCTCTACAATTGATGTATTGAGCACTATTTTAACAGTGGTATTTCTATATCACTCTACAATTGATGTATTGAGCACTATTTTAACAGTGGTATTTCTATATCACTCTACAATTGATGTATTGATCAATATTTAACAGTGGTATTTCTATATCTCTCTACAATTGATGTACCGTATTGAGCACTATTTTAACAGTGGTTTTTCTATATCACTCTACAATTGATGTATTGATCAATATTTAACAGTGGTATTTCTATATCTTTCTACAATTGATGTATTGAGTACTATTTTAACAGTGGTATTTCTATATCACTCTACAATTGATGTATTGAGTACTATTTTAACAGTGGTATTTTTATATCACTCTACAATTGATGTATTGAGTACTATTTTAACAGTGGTATTTTTATATCACTCTACAATTGATGTATTGAGCACTATTTTAACAGTGGTATTTCTATATCACTCTACAATTGAAGTATTGAGCACTACTTTAACAGTGGTATTTCTATATCACTCTACAATTGATGTATTGAGTACTATTTTAACAGTAACAGTGGTATTTCTATATCTCTCTACAATTGATGTATTGAGCACTATTTTAACAGTGGTATTTCTATATCACTCTACAATTGATGTATTGAGCACTATTTTAACAGTGGTATTTCTATATCTCTCTACAATTGATGTATTGGGCACTATTTTAACAGTGGTATTTCTATATCACTCTACAATTGATGTATTAAGCACTATTTTAACAGTGGTATTTCTATATCTCTCTACAATTGATGTATTGAGCACTATTTTAACAGTGGTATTTCTATATTGCTCTACAATTGATGTATTGAGCCCTATTTTAACAGTGGTATTTCTATATCGCCCTGTATTGAGTATTGTTTTAAGAGTGACAAGTTTTTTTTATCATTTAATAAACATATCAACAACAAAATAAAACAAAATATGACATGATCAATAATCATTATTCTTCATTCAGTCATTGATCAATATATTTACATCATACTTTTTATTCCATACAAAATTAAGAATATCACAATCAATATGAGTTTACATGGTATATTAGAATTAAACGTTGGTCTCACAGGCATTATTGGTGTGTAAATACAATTGATCATGTGACAAACTGAATAAATGACGAAGTCCAATGACTAATAACACTGGTGAAACCAACGTTTAATTCATATATTAATATTCAGATACTTTTATTAATACAATTTTCACTTTTATTTATGTTTGGTTATTTGAATTTGCCACAAATCTTAGATTGCATCAGCATCATAGTATCACGTAACAAACTAGTTTTTTTCGAAAAATAAACACCAGTTTGCGTAACTGGTTCATTGAAGGGAGTTATAGTAGAAATATCATAGTTGTAATGATGAGTTGAAAAAGGAAGCTATTAGTGAAATATTTTAAAAATCAGACAATAATATTTTAACCAATGTGAAAATAGAAATATTATTCTCTCTACTGATAAAATGTAGATCCAGAAACTGACTTTATAATATATAACTAAAACCCAGGTAGGAGATAGAATTTAGTCACAATTCCCATTTGGTTTTTTAAGACAAGACGTTACTTTGATATAGTGAAAGGATTTAGTCCATTCCCATGGAATTAAGGCCTTATTAGAGGTAGAGATAACAAAAAACAGGTACTGTAAATTTTTTTAAATAAAACCAAAGTCCTGTTGTAAAAAAACGTGATAACTTTAATATCAACATATACATAAAAATCTGATTGGTCGGTCTATTTTAGTGACATTTTTACCAATCAGATGTTAGAAATGTTTTGTTACAAGGTTTATGAATAATGAACTCCCTGATAACAGAATAATTTAGCCATTATTCAAGCTAATAACTGCTTTTCTTCCTGAAAACAACTAGTATTAGTACATTAAAAAAAAATTAAGTATTGCAACAATGTGGTGTCTACCACATTTGGAAAGAATACAAAAATATGTAAGTAAAGAAAGAATATTGCACCCGCTATCTGTGGGCCAGGCCATTGTACGACCACATGAAAGTATTAAATATAAATAATTTCATTTCGCTACCACCCACTAGCTATCAGTGGGTGTGGCAATGGCAAGAAAAGCACCTAATGGATTAATCTCAACAGTAAACTGATCTGAAGATTTATAATGTCCGTAGAATTTATTGTCAAAAACTTCGGTGAAATTATACGCAGGGCCTGATAATCCTAGTTGATTGACCTGCACGCTGATCTTATGGGGCATTCCCTGATCATCTCGATTCACTATTGCAACTGCGTAACTTCCATTCTTAGCTAACGGCTTTAACCATAATCCAACACTACTTATCTAGAATATATGGAAATATACAAATGGTTGAAAGAAAATAAAGCATTCAGACACGATACAATTTGAAGTATACAACTACATCTTAATGCCTAATTTTAGGTTTGAGGGCTGACATGCATGGATGGAACAATAAACCAAGGTCCTGTGGCATGGCACATTAAAGATTCCTCAACAGTTGGAATAGTAGAGGAGAAGAATTATGACACTGTCATAGCAAAATTTTCCCCATTACATGTCCTTGCCCGTCTTCATTAGCCCTATCCACAGCAGACAGTAAGACATCAACCTGTATTTCATTTTGATGTCAGTTTTAACCTACTAACCTGCCACTGTCTGACAGCTTGAGCTCCGAGAGGATCCTGGTTAATAGCCAATATCCCTTTATGTTGTAACAGTTGTTTGGTATGATTTGATATTTTTCTAAGATCATTTGACATAAATAATGGAGAGGACCACATGGACCACATCACAAACTGGGTTTTCTCTTCTTCATAGCTCAGTCCAAAATCACCAGCCACTAACTGAAATTTTTTTAAGAGAAATAGTATAGGAATGAGTGTAGGTTTTGTTATCATTATGGGGCATTCAACACTGCTTTATCATGTGACAGGACAAATGACCAGGTGAATGTAGTTCCATTCAAAGGATACACTCTCCACTTTAAATACAAAATGGGTGCAGTCATTTGACCTAAAGGGACAGGTCCCCCATTATATCAGAGATATCACATTATATATGTTGGGATTAAATTATATTTTGAAATTTGTTATTATTATATAAACAGTTGTAATAAAATGACTCACATATCTGACCGCTATTTGCAAGTTATTCTATGGAAAATAACTATATTATTATATTAATTGATACTCACCATATCTGGATCATTCCAGCCTCCAGGTCCATTATAACTACTGAAATTACCATCATCTTTACCATAAAAATCAATAATACTTAAAATACTTGTCCATGAATCTTGAACATCACCAAAATTTCTCCACAAGTTACAAGTTTCTCTAATGGCACCATAGTCAGGCTGTGGAAGTTAAGATTAAATGTTATTTTTATATTTTTCAATAGAAATATCTTTATCAACTATGCAGACTATTTAAAAGGGTTGCCCAAACAGAATAGCATCAAATAGGATGAGCAAGTCCTGCTTCACTAGCCAATTATTTACATCATGAATATTCATTATCTATACGGAAGAAACTGATCTTCAAAGATCTGCTGCAGTAACAGAAAGAACAGAAAAATTGGGTAGAGTACCTTAATTTTATCTCCTATTTGATACAGGGGCCACTCACAGGAATAGACCATAGGATGACCTGTGTTGTTTAAAAACTGACCCATTGCCTTGAAACCTAATAGAAACAATGATAAGTAGATCTTAGAATTCCACAGTTTATATAAACAGTATTTGTAACCAGTAGTCATCGAAAAAATATACATTGACATTGATCTTTCAATAAAATATTTCAACATCAAAGTTCCACTTAATCTGAAGCTATAACAGAGGGGTTCTAATACTTAAATAATATACATACACAAATTTTGCATGTGTATTCATTCTTACTAAACAAAATGGCTATGTGCGGGTGTTTAGATTGGCTGGTTTGAAAGTCATGTGACATCATGAATTTTGTTTAGATTAGAGGTTTAACTGCTAAAGTGAAACAAGGTAGTTATATAATATAATAGTTTTTAACATGATGAAGAGAAATCATGCCCTGAGTCATCATATCACTAAATAACTCAAAAAGTCATACCAGCTTCCATTTGTTTAGGATCAGAATAACATCCATCAAACTTCAACATGTCCACGTTCCATTCTGCAAATGTGTTGGCATCTGACATCATATAGAACTCACTTCCAGGAAATCCACCACAAGTCTTACTGCCAAAATCTTCATAGATTCCTAGTTTTAACCCTTTGGAATGCATCTGAAATAACAAATACAGTTTGAAGAAATGTAATTCTGCAAAATAGTATTCTGTATAATGAATTCCATGGTGTTTAAAGGCCAGAAATAATGAACAAATTCAACTTTTATTAAGTCTGTATTGTTTCTGTACTCTTTAATCTTCAAAAAAACAATGGACTGCTGGTATTTATGTTTCAAATCACACCCAGGTATAAATATCTTTGCTCGACTTAACCATATGTATGTCTCTATATGCCCTAGGTCAGTGTTTCTATAGGAGAGTATCTCTCATAAGACCCTACACCAATTATTTATTCATTGATACAAGTATATAATTAAATACTTACATAATCAGCCAGTGCTTTAATGCCACTGGGAAATCGTTCAGGATCAGGAACAAGTTTGCCCTGTGAGTCTCTCTCCTTCGCCATCCAGCAGTCATCAATATTGATATACTCATATCCTACATCTTTATAACCCTCTGACACCAATAAATCGGCCATTGTTTTATATAGCTTCTCACTGAAAACATCAAATCAATATTAAAAATCAGATATGTAGACCTTCCACTCACTGAAATCATGGCATAATCATACTAAATATACAAGATCAGATATGTAAATTTTCCAAAAGAGTCAAATAAAAGTTATATAGCTTCTCACTGAAATTTAAATACCAATATGCCACATATATAATACCATTGTATTACATCCCCCAAAATGGATGACAAGTTGATAAACCCAGTTGAAGAATGGATTCAAAATTCATTATCATTACTTCTAAGGATTTATGTAGACAATGTATTGAAATAAAAATTTGGTTCACTGATTGGGTGAAAACAAAAAAAAATGCATGCTCATAAATTCTATGAAATTTTGAATGAAAATATTCACCTGATGCAGTTATCTGGATCATTTTTACAGTCTGTATTACATCGGAACCGTTCCCATGACAACCAACCCATTGGTGGAGTTCTCACTAAGCCATTATCTAGACCTTTCACAGAAACCGTTAGAAACAGGCTGAAAATTATAACCAGCCCTTGCATCCTGGCCACACTAATACCTGTAGAAACAAGAATAGGACTTACGCCATATTATCAGCCTTGCCTACAGGCTTACTAAATGTAAACTTGTTCATTAAATAAGTGTAAACTTTGTGCCAATCATCCCTTTGACACCTCTCAACCTTTAATGCACTCTCCTTAGCCCTAAACATTTACTTTTCCTATCAATATGATGCCATGAGGAATCAAATTATTTGTCTTGATCCAGAAGAGTGAGCAATCACCTGCCACTAACTTACTGTTGTTGCGCTTAAATTCCAATACATTGAATATAGTTATTGGACTGGTCGAATACTAATAATAAATCAGGTAGCAGATGTAGGTATGATTTGTTATTAATCATGACTAATTTATAATAGTTAGCCTCCAACATCTGGTGACCAATTGTTATGTTTAATGCACAGTTAAAGACCATGGCCATTCTTTCTTTTAAACATTATTAACTTTTCTTTTTGGCCTTATGATTTGGCAAATTTGTGTTAACTTAAATATAACTAATCCATAAAAGCTTCTTCTGAGATTATTTTTCATGATTTTATAACATGAAATATTTGTGATAAATCTCATATTTAAAGTGATACTACGTGTTAGAATGAATATAAAATCTAAGTCTCAAGAATGGTCAATATGAGTATATATTCATCAGTTAGCTTAGTGTCATAAAGTTACAACAGAATCCTTGTAAAACTTGGAAAATTGGAAAATTCATACAACTAAGTAATTATTGAAAAATGCTTAATCTTGATGTTAAGTGTTTTTCAATAGTTAATTGCATAGGTATGGAAACTTACTAAATTTTTTGGATTTATCAGATTATATAAGGGTCCTGTTATGTTTTTTATGACACCAGGTATATCTACTGATGAATATATCTTTTTATTGACTAAGTTTAAAAATCTTGAATTTTATGTTCATTCTAATACATTTTAAGGTAATCTAGTTTAAAACCGATTTCACTGCATCGTCTTGAAAGAAAGAATTAGAAATAATGACGATTTTCAAATCCACAATTAATCAAGTTTTCAAGCTAGCTTAACATAAAACTAACTGCCATATTCATTATCTTTTTATTATTAACATATGACAGTTTAAAATCAAAAGTGAGAACATCAGTTGACACTTGCTATGATAAACATGCTGTTGATTTATGTATTGCATGATTTGCGTTGACATTAGCCCACGCCAATCAATGGCATTCCATTATAAATTGAAGCAATCTGGGGTTTTTTTTAACGTGAGCCAGGGTGTAGCTTTTTTTATGTGCTAGCCCCTGCACTGGCTCACTACCAGATTAATTGTCCTTGACAGATTTAAAATTACTCGACCGATTATGCAATGAGATAAAAGATTAAACTTAATCCGCTCACCTGAATAAATTGCCTTTTTTCTTACCAAGATTGTTTACACTCTTTTCATGTGATACGTCATGTGATACATCATGTGATAATATCGATAGTCTTGATTGTCATATTGTTACTTACAGCGGAGATATAACGTCTTGACAATCAGATCTACCACATGCTGCAATGGGACAGATAACTCTTAATAAAATGCCATGAAAAGTTGCACAACGAAAATCTTCCCGAATTTGTAAAATTTCAGAAGATTTTCCTCAGAATTCAACAGACTGTAAGTATGTACACCCCATCTTTCAGCTTATAAAACGTTTTGGCAAATCCGAGAAATGTATAGACCGATTTATTCAAACAAGATTGTGAATTCGTCTGGACGATCGTGAGTAGTTTCTGCTCAGCTGACAGTAATCGACTTCCGTTTCTGTGTCAACAACAAAACTATGTCAGCCTATATTTAGCTCCGACTTTGGACATCTGTACCAGGAAAACAACATTGAAATTTTACGTCTAGTTATCATTTCTTCTGACGGAAATGATTGAAAAATATCTGAAGAATAATTTCAAAGATGACTCGGGGACAATCAGAGAGGTTTTTCAAGCGTTTGACAAGAATGGGTAGGTGCAACGATCTTTGAATTTGGTACAGTGTTGTACAATGTACAAAGTAATGCGACGCGGCGGATAAACAGTGAAAACCACAGTGAGAGTCTATAATAATAACCTAGTAGAAAGATCAGTATACAGCCAGGCCAGATTGTCAACCTTTGTTGTAGTTATTGTAAAGGTGACATTCTATTCACTCAATTCGGTCAAGTCGTTAGGCCTGTTGATTGTTGAATTTAGTCATTTTAGTCAACTGAACTGATAGGCCTAGTTCAATATTAAAATATTTCATTTTACCAGCTTTATTCCAGCAACCCATGGCCATATAACTTTCAAGCAGGAGTGTATCTAGAAAATGCCTGAAGCCGAAGGGTTGAAGCCAACGCACTAACTGAATCAGATGAATTTTGAGCATTATATAATGAATTCTTACTTCAGAATAAGACCATTCTTTCACAGGCCTACACACGCCGGAGGTCTTAAGATTGAAAGTTTGACTTAGGGCCTACAGTCTTACACTGTCAAAGCTGAACATTAAATAAATAAAGGGTTGGATATACCTTTGACAATGTTATTCACAAAATTATTTCTACAAGAAAAATGACAGTTAACAACTAAGAAAAAGAGTCCTAGCAAATCAAACCTGTTTTTTTAATTTTCATAGAGCGAATTCTCCCCACCCCTCAACTCAAAACAAGGCGCTCTATTTTTCTTTAGTGTCAAATGTGCAATAAAAATCCATTTAAATGCCTTAAATTCTTTATTTGAGCCCCAAATTAGCCCTAAAATTTCTTAATTTCATCCCTTATTAGTCATTATTTTTTATCAATGAGTGCAGGATAGCTGGGATAAATACTAGTATTATTTAAAATTTTATTGCAGTGATGGTTATATAGACCATAAAGAGTTTGAGACATTATTACATGATGTCTTTACACATGCCAAATATAATGGCACTCAATCTTCAATGTCCAATAACCTGGTTGATTCCTTACTGAAAGTCTTTGATGAAGATAAGGTAGGTAAATCTATTCTCACTTGTTAATTTTACATAGTTAAATACCCATAAACTTATCTTTTATAGCTATTGTTCAATATGTTGATAATAAAAAAATCAAGTATTAACGATCCGAACTGCAAAATGAAGCCCAAAATCAAAACAACATTTTGGCAAAACATTGGTAACAGCTAATGAATTTTTCAAATGAGGAAATATATCAATCATAAGTGAGTATTTATTTCATAATGACATAATGGTATCAGGTGTCTACAAGCATACGCTGCATGGCACCACACAATAAATATAGTGCAATATTTTCTGCAATTCCAAAGGTGATGAAGAGAATAGAGCTTATTTTTATAAGTTATGTTGCAAGACATCCCAAGCATCAATGCATCAGTTCATTAAATAAGTTTATTGTTTGTCTTTCAGGATGGAAAAATTAATTTTGGAGAATTTTCAAAATTATGGAAATATTGGTTGAAACAGGTTTGTAAATAAATGAGTTTATAATTTATGTTATAAAGTAAGCTTATATGATATTGAAACAATGTTTCACAGGTCTTTCTTTTATTGTCCAAACAGCTTTTAGTGCTTGCATGATATATCGGTGAATTGAAGTACATGTATCGTGACATGTATAGTATCGTGGCTTGATGGACAATACCCAGCATTATCATCTCTTCCTACCTGACGTTAAAAAAGCTCAGATAAGCTTATTTGGTTCCCAAAACCATTCAGTATATTGAAAAGTTCCTTAGAAATTTTCTTCTTCAATTATTTCAGATATTAAAGCCAGTGACAGCTCTGATAATAGTGGATGTCCAGAATGATTTTATCAATGGCAGTCTGGCTCTGAAACATTGTCCTGCAGGCCAGGATGGTGACTGTGTTATTTCACCTATTAATAACATGTTAACAGAGGTTCCCTTCGATGTAGTGATATATTCTATTGACTGGCATCCTTCAAATCATATTTCTTTCCATGATAACAGGACATTACGACCTTTTCACCTTGAATCTCAGGTCAGTTCGGAGAATTTTTGTTCCATAAAGTTAAAAATGAAATATATATAAAAACTTACTGCAGACTCAATATGTGGCATTGATCTTTCCAACATTGTTTAAAATTTAAAAATTTAGCATATTTGATTTATGTGGAAAGTAGACTTCTTGATATAAGGTCCTTACAAATTTTTGATAGAAAAAAATAAATTCATTAGAATATAAAAATATTTTAGAACACCAGGCTTTAATGCTATTATTGTTTCATTACCATCTGTCATGTGGTTCTTATACCAGCAATTCTTGAAAAACCTAACCAGATTATGACATCAATGCCATTCAATCAAACTTGGGGAAATGGAAGTTATTATTGTTCGTGATACACAGGGAACAGACAACCTCATTTAAATCTATGGTGAATTCCACCATATTAAGAAACAACAGTTTTTATGGATATAAACTTCTATTTATTATTTAAACACAATGTTTCATCACACATACAGGTAACGTTCTCAAGTGATAATTAACCATAAAAAAAAATCCTTTGTAATAACAGAAAAAACTTAACAGATAAAAAAATACAAAATTAACTCTCATATTATTAGGGATTAAAAGATAGATTACATATTTAAATATTAAAGATGGATTTCCTTTTTTTTTCGTGACAAAAATTAAGCAAAATATTTTATGTTTCTAATGAATTATCATGTATTTTTAATCATATCATTATGTTCTTATTGCATATAATTAAGGGATTTTACCATGTATGTACAGTCTGGATAAACCAAAAAGACTTCTTGACCTTTCTTGATCGATCACTCATTGGAATTCTGCTGGTAATTCTCTTCTAATTTAGCTAATTATGAATTAATTATGGATATGTGAGACAAACTGGTATTTTTCCAAGTCATTAGAACACCCCTACTTTCTATTCATATAACTATTAGCATTTTCATTTTCATAAATGAAAATAAGGGAACCCATCTTTAAAGAGAAGTTTATATCCATAAAACCGTTGTTTCTTAATGTGCTGTGATACTTCTAAATGTCTTACAATGATTACATTCCACCATATTGTTATCAACTACTAGGAATGTAAAGAAGATGTAGACCTGTTTGATACAGTGATATTTGATGGTCCACCACAAACGAAACAAGTGTTATGGCCCCGACATTGTGTCCAAGAATCTCATGGTGCTCAGCTTCATCCTGATTTAAAGGTAGGCAGTCAAAGGGCGGAAAAAAGAGAAGGAAATTATTTTATACTCTATATATTTAGATTTAAGAATACACTATGGAAAGTTTGTATATGGCAAATTCAAAACTTTATTCTGTGAACCATATCAATGAAATAAAAAAGAAGAATTTGTTGTAAGTGTAGAATATTACATTCAAAACCAAACTTCAACAAAATTGATCGTAAAATTTTTTCTGGAACAAGGTCCATGGGTCTAATTACCAAAAACCTGAAAAATTCTTAGCATCTTTTCATCTGATTGGACAATCAATAAAATTGATTTTGAACCAGTCATTTTGTTGAATTTTGAAAATTTGGATTTCATCCAAGATATGTTTTGTGAATATGAGACCTATGTTTGTAATTAATAACCTTTTTGTCATATCACTATTATATCATATATCAAACACTATAAATATAGTATATATTACAGATAGAATATTAGTGTGAATTGGGTGCATTCTAAAATAAATCAAATTAAGTCCTTCACAGGTCACATCATTACAAAATGATGTGAGAATATGTTTGTTTTTGAAAAATTATCATGTCAGAGATAGTTTGGGAGTGCATTACAGTGCAGATGCCCTTATAAAGCATTTCTGTGAAACCCATTTTTGATGTCATTACAAAAATTGAGTTATTTGGTGTTTATTTATGTATCATTTATAAAGTTCAGAACATAGGTTCAATATGTTGTCACATAAAGCAATACTGAATGAATAAAGAGAGAAATAAGGAGAGGCTTTATTTTTTTTACTGAAGCCATTTAGTGAAGAAGGATATTGAACTGAAGCAATTCTTGCACATGAGTAGTAAATACCTTATTTTACACTAATTAGATTTATTGAGGAATTAAAATTTAATAAACAAAATACTAACGATCCAAACAGGAAAACGAAACCAAAATTCCAAAATATTTTGGAAAAACATTGGTAGCAACTAATGAACTTTTCACATGAGGAAGTATATCAGTCAGAAGTGAGTAAGTATTTCATAATGAAAAGTGATATCAGATGTCAAGTAAGAGTAAGCATAACGCACTGCAATACAATGTTCTTGATGTATATATGTGCAAAGTAAGAAAATGTACCATTACAAGGTTGTTATTACAGTAATTGAAATGTGTTTGTCATTAATTACAGATATTAGAGAAAGGATATCAGGTATATAAAGGAACTAATCCAGAAATAGATAGTTATTCAGCTTTCTGGGACAATAACAAGCTTTCACAGACTGAACTGTGTGATATACTGGTAAAACATAGTGTCACTGATGTCTATGTTTGTGGTTTGGCTTATGATATTTGTGTAGGTAAGGAAGGTTTACTTTTTCAAATAGTGGCCCAGTAGGGTCATCAGGCCACCCTGCCCCCTTCCCTTCCCTTCAGGCTATGCTCCAAATTCATCTCAAGTCATCTGATATCCGTAGGCTTCTTGGGGCCTCTGGCAGCCCTCAGTCCCAAGCCGTAAGGGTTCCACCTGGGCACACATCTGACACACCTGGTCAGGCTAATGATAAGTATGTGTTTATTTATAACAGGTTATACAGCAACACATTCTACAGAGCATGGTTTTAGAACTACTCTAATAGACAATGCCAGTAAAGGTGTTTCAATGGATGGTATCAATCAGATGAAACAAAGTTTAATTAAGAAAGGTGTAGTTATAGCAGACTCTTATCAAGTAGGTAAACATCTGAGAACTATAAGATTAGGGAGAGCATGTTATCCACTCTCTGAGCATGAGTACATTACACACAATGTAAAAGTTTATAGTTCGAGAAAAGAAACAAGATCGTGTGTTAATAAGTAATACATTCATATCTGTTATTATCTCAACTGTAGATAATCTGAAATAAGAGAAGTATCCCCTTTTGGGATCATAGATTGGAATCAATTGAAAAGCATATAAACTTTTTAAAACTGGGGAGAAAAATAACAGAAGTAAAAAGGTATTTTGAATACAAAGAATTATTCATATCATTGTATATTTCAAAATAAAGACAAAGAATAGTAAATAAATATAAGGTTTTAAAATGATTCTGGGTAAATTTGCTGTTAATTTTGGCAATCTACCATGGACAAGAATGTCATTTAAATTTTGTTCCATTTATATGCTATTACCAAATCGTTAGGAATTTTAGGTTGTAACATTGCGATTAAGCACACGAAAGCACAGGCATGTAGGCGTAACCTCTAGTGATAGAGCAATGTTTGTGAAATAAGTTTAAAAGAATGATATAGAATATTTGAAATGCAAATCCATTATCTTCCGAATCTGAAATATATAAGAGGAATACTGGTTCCAACAGGAATATAAGCCCATCTGGTTGATATGTTTGTCACAAAAGAAAAAAACCTCCTTATTACTACCTAATTCACTACCTAATTCACTATATCAGTAGTGTTACATATAGCTCAGTTCAGATTAACTATTGAAAACAAAAGAAGAGTTAGCCTCTGTAGTGAAAGTTGTAGCAATACTTATTAAATTAGTCATCTTCACTCGTAATTCCAGTAGACCCAGCTGTAAATGGGAACAGGTAATCCGGGAAAGATCAATGGCCAAGGATCAGTTGGTAGAAAGGATCCATAACTGTGAACCTAAGTTGTTATCCTTGTAAAATATAGTTACTTGTTTATTTCTTTCTAACTGTTCATTTAAGGTTCACACTTAATATCAAGAGCTTAAAACTAAATGTAATTTATTCATTATATAATTCAGGTAAAAGATATGGTACTTGGAACAGATCGAGCTTTACATCATGGGATTAAAGCTGCAGCTAATTTCTACCTAGCTAGAAAAATGTATGAAGCGAAACTACTTAATTCTTAGTCCAAATTGTATTGTTTTAGTGCCTCATATACTTAGGCTAGTCATAAACTTGGAGAAGCATAATATGCTACAAGTCAGGATCGATCATCTCACTGTATTTGCCAGCCATGTCTGACTAAAGATCAAAATGTTGATTTTACTGTAAAGCACAAAAATTTTATTTGCCATTCATGTATGACTGATGTTTTAGTCTATTGATTTGCTGTTGATTATGCCATTCATGTTTGATTTAAGTTCTAGACTGTTGATTTGTCAGATATATTTGAATGGAAGTTTTGACTATTGGACGTATTTGTCAGCCTATCGTTCTATTGATGATGATTTGAATATTTGCCAATAATGTCTGACTATCGTTCTATTGATGATGATTTGAATATTTGCCAATAATGTCTGACTATCGTTCTATTGATGATGATTTGAATATTTGCCAATAATGTCTGACTAGAGTTCTATTGATGATGATTTGAATATTTGCCAATAATGTCTGACTAGTGTTCTATTGATGATGATTTGAATATTTGCTAATAATGTCTGACTAGAGTTCTATTGATGATGATTTGAATATTTGCCAATAATGTCTGACTAGCGTTCTATTGATGATGATTTGAATATTTGCTAATAATGTCTGACTAGAGTTCTATTGATGATGATTTGAATATTTGCCAATAATGTCTGACTAGAGTTCTATTGATGATGATTTGAATATTTGCTAATAATGTCTGACTAGAGTTCTATTGTTGATGATTTGAATATTTGCCAATAATGTCTGACTAGAGTTCTATTGATGATGATTTGAATATTTGCTAATAATGTCTGACTAGAGTTCTATTGATGATGATTTGAATATTTGCCAATAATGTCTATCGTTCTATTGATGATGATTTGAATATTTGCCAATAATGTCTGACTAAAGTTCTATTGATGATGATTTGAATATTTGCTAATAATGTCTGACTAGAGTTCTATTGTTGATGATTTGAATATTTGCCAATAATGTCTGACTATCGTTCTATTGATGATGATTTGAATAATTGCCAATAATGTCTGACTAGCGTTCTATTGATGATGATTTGAATATTTGCTAATAATGTCTGACTAGAGTTCTATTGATGATGATTTGAATATTTGCCAATAATGTCTGACTAGAGTTCTATTGATGATGATTTGAATATTTGCTAATAATGTCTGACTAGAGTTCTATTGATGATGATTTGAATATTTGCCAATAATGTCTGACTAGAGTTCTATTGATGATGATTTGAATATTTGCCAAGAATGTCTGACTAGAGTTCTATTGATGATGATTTGAATATTTGCCAATAAAGTCTGACTAGAGTTCTATTGATGATGATTTGAATATTTGCCAATAATGTCTGACTACAGATCTATGGTTGTTGATTTTCGTGTCTGACTAGATAATTGATGTAGAACTAGAGCTGTTTACTGAATCTCTAAATTGCTCATTTGGCTGTATTTGCTAGTCATAACTGACTAAAACTTGAGACCGTATCTGCAAGTCATGTCTTAATAGAGTTCTATATTGTAGATTTGGCTGTACTTGCTAGTCATGCTGCTGATTTCATTTGCAAGCCATATCTGTCTAGAGCTCTGAAATATCCCACCTTGGTGGTGAACTGGATGTTGTTTTCAATGAAAATAGTTATATTATGCGACTCAAGATTATTTTAATTACAAAAAATGCATATAAATTAAATTTGTTGTGAACACAATATGTTCTATATTATAGACCCAGTTTTACAAATGGTCAATTGTTGAATTTCAATGAGTTTATTACCTACTTTTATTTCACACCTGTTTAGGCAAATTGAAATTATTGCAAATATTATTAAAGATCAAATCTTGTTCATAAATATGTTATTTAATCATAATATTTGTTATATGGTGTTAGATGGTGATGAGAACACAGTCTCCTAAAAGCACTGGCCTGGGTCACAAAGTAAAGATTTATGATTTAAATATTGATATTATTATATTCTATAGATCTATATTTTCACATTCCTCTGTTAGACATATAGAGTTTTTATATTTATTGTATGTGCATGAACATTGTGGGCTTGATCTTGGCTGATTTATATTTATGTCTTTTCTTATTCTATTCATTAACATATGAGAGAATATTGCTATGCTGCAACTAGATTTTTTTTTTTGATCAAGAATAACATGCTTTCTTAGGTGCTATTGGAATATGTTGTAACAGCAATCAGCTCAAACAAAAGACAAGATTGGTGCAAGATCCTGTAAATATTCATTATTTTTAGTAGCTAGTCAACTGATTTAGTGATCTTGTCCAGCTAGTCCAATTCAAAAATATTCTTGCACATCTTGGATGGATTCCAAATATGAGCACCAAGCACCACTTATTCTGTCTGGAATAGACAGGCTAATGTTGTTTATTTTTAGGAAAGGACAAGTTATGCATAAATATATTTTCTTGACTGTACTTGTTTGTTTTTTATTCATATCGACTCCAGAATAGTCTTCAAATTTTTTGTCAAGCCAGTTTAGTTTTCCTTATGTTGATATTCATGTTTTTTGTCAAAACTTACTTTTGTTGGTTAAAACTTACTTACTTTTGTATTACTTACTGTTTTATTTTTTCATTGTTTATTTTTTTCATTTCTACTTCATAATATGTTAGTGTTTGTTTCAATTTGTATTTTATTCTAGTGATATCTATTATAAAAAAAATGTTATTTTCATGTTATCTGACATTTCTTAACCTGAGTGAACTTGATTCTCAAAATCTTACAAGAATATAGATCATGGACATAGCTCAGGAAACCTTCTAATGATTTGAGTATTAGATTTGAACGACATATAGAAGCAAGGAGCACATATGACAAAACAAAAGACAATATTATAGAATATAACACACTTCTTTAATAAGGTATGTGCCCAACCTTGTGTTTTGTTCAATTTGAGTATTGTATTCTTCTGATTGGTTGGTCATTAAAATTGATTTTAAATTTAGTTTATAAACCAATTAAGGTATCTTTGAGAATAATGTTAGGCATGTTTAAGATCACTGGACAGTTGTAAATTGAAGTCAAGGAGGCCTATACTGCTGTCCTGGCAAAAAAAAGATGTTAAGCTTGATTTATTTCTGAGGGTCGTCATTATTACAGCACTCAGTCTTACAACCTTGACCTCTCACTAACCAAGAACAAAACATATATTAATTACAAATTATACCTTCTTCTAAAATAACAATAATTTCAAAACACATGATTTAATAAAAATAAAATACTGAATTGCATTGCATACTGACTAAATCAAACATAAAACAAATACAAAATTAGTCACATGACTGAGAGCCACGGTTAGACTCTAGCTCACTAAACTGAAGGTCCAATTCCGGCATTAGACCAAATACAAAATCAGAAATATAATGATTATAAGGTTGGTCTGGTAATCAAATGCATAATTTGTTAACAGATAATCATAACATAGTATTGGGTGTATAATGCAGGCCAGGCCACAATATCACAATCACATGACAAAACATTGGTAAAACTTCAAAGTGAAGACAGCAGACATTGGTAAAACTTCAAAGAGAAGATAGCAGACATTGGTAAAACTTCAAAGAGAAGATAGCAGACATTGGTAAAACTTCAAAGAGAAGATAGCAGACATTGGTAAAACTTCAAAGAGAAGATAGCAGACATTGGTAAAACTTCAAAGAGAAGATAGCAGACATTGGTAAACCTTCAAAGTGAAGATAGCAGACATTGGTAAAACTTCAAAGTAGAGATAGCAGGCATTGGTAAACCTTCAAAGTAGAGATAGCAGGCATTGGTAAAACTTCAAAGTAGAGATAGCAGACATTGGTAAAACTTCAAAGTAGAGATAGCAGACATTGGTAAAACTTCAAAGTGAAGATAGCAGACATTGGTAAAACTTCAAAGTAACGATAGCAGACATTGGTAAACCTTCAAAGTGAAGACAGCAGACATAAGGATTACTGAGGTAAAGTAAGCTTAACTTAAAATATCAAGAGTAGCCAAATTACAAGATTACTGGAAAACACAATGGAGTTTTGAGAAAATTCCAAACGAACAGCAATTTCGTTGAGCTTGAGTGTTTAGCAGTTACAAATCAGCCTTAGAGAGGAAACCAAAATACTCAAATGAAATCCCTGATTAACATATTATCTAATAAATGTGAGTCAACTGTGTGATTAAACAATCATAATGCCCAGATAATAAATCAGCAGTATTGAGGTTATCATTAAGCCTTGAATCAATGAGCTAAGATACTATAATGTATCACAAAACAGTGCATGATAGGATTAATGCTGTATATAGTACCTCTCGGAAAATTGGGAAAGCTTCCCAGAAGAAAATATTCAAAATCAATTAAACTTTGTGGGATTTCACATTTCCAAGTGAGAAACTCAATTTTCCAAGTTGTGATGTAAGACTGTAAGGCAGCCAATCATAAACACGTGATATAATTATTATGCGAATAAAGTATATTTATATTCAGAGATGTTTACTGAATACTGACCAAATGATAATTACTACTTTCCAACTCCAAAAGGAAACTTTTTACTTCCGAGTGATAACAAGTACAGTGTATGGTCCATGATTAGTTCATTATATCGTGGTCACATTCAATAAGTTTTCTTTACCATTTTGATATGATTATCAATAAACATGAATAATACACTTAGTAAACAATATTAGATATGTGGCTTTTAGATAGTCTCTTGTCACCTTGGCAAACAGAGTCACAAAGAGCCATCAGATGTTCCTGAAAATGAGCTTTACCAAATTATTCTTGTTTAGTTTTGAAGAGCAAAAATTTGTGCCAGGGTAAATATAAAGATCCTGAATTATAGCTTTCTGATAGAAAACTTAAAATCAATTGCAGCAGTTAACTAAAATTATCTTTGGCCTCAGCATGGAAATGACAATTCATATCAGCTGTAATATAACTTGATTTGCCGTTGAAACGAGTCTTGTATTGCTTTTCTGAAATATAGTAATAAGGATAAGATTATTTGGTTTGACATATCTAGCCCAATAAAGAAAATGAGGGGGATTAAAGCAATGAAATACAGGACCAAATTTTAAGATGGATATATAAAGCTGTCTTGCTAAACAGGAGTGAGCAATCAACAAGAATATTTTACAGTACGAAGATTCTCAACTCCAATCTAACTGACAAGAGCATATCATATGCTCAAAGACAGCAGGCATATTGTCTATCAGTGGCAGAATGGAAGGCACACTTATCATTGGGTACTGGGGATCTAATCTTGGTATTTTTTACCCTTAAGAAATATAAATTGCATTTTTATCACTATCATTATTATCTAAAGGGACAGATGTCTTTTTTTTTTTACCTTTTTGTCTTTTCTTGAGACACTGCCACATTGGAAAAGACCTCTATAGAACTAGGAATACAAATTCCTAGTTTGATATATTTTTAAAGGAATTCGTACATTTCTAGTGCTATTTACAAATATTCAAGACTCAAATCAACCCCTTGAAATGGCACACCTGTCCCTTTAAAATAGTAGCCACTCACCGGAAGACACTTTGGTTAAAGATTATGGAAGTAACATGTCCTGTATTGATGTATCGAATTTCAGCACCTGGCCATAACTGATCCAGACTGACTAGACCATCCCGTGGAATATAGGCATCTTTTTCAGCAGCAACCACTATAATCAGCCGAGGGTCTACAGGAACAGAATAGTTAGCTAAATGAGTACACTCGTCCATGACACCTTGCAGAAATGCCATGGATTCAGGACTAAATCCTTTTTTGCCATTTAATTTCAGTTTTTTTGTTGCATCTGCTGCCATTTTTGGAACGGAAAGTTTTGACTTTGAAGCTGCATATTTCAATGTTTGTGGTATTGATTTTAATCGAGAACCGTAAGAATTCACAACAGGCACAGCATCGGCAGAAATTGGCATTGCATCTGCTGATAAATTCATATTCACTTCCTTAGCAAAGGAATCTTTCTCACTGTGTTCGAGTCCTTTTGACTCCTGACTCAATGATTCAACAACCTTTAAACTGTCTGGATAATCTTTCACAAATTGTTTACCTAGTGGATAGGCTCCCTTGTTTAAATCTGGCGTTATAATACGATTCTGTATTTCCTGATAATCGCTGTCTTCGTAATACTGTGACTGTAGGACATTCCAGTTGACAGCACCACTTAATACTCCCTGGAATACAGAAGTTTTGTGTGAGAATTTGTAAGCAATCTTGCTAACATCATAGGCTATCATGGCTTCCCAAGAAAAGAGGCTGGTCCACTCATTTCAAATTCTTCATCATTTTACATAAGATTAAGATTATTGAACTTAGTATAGCACTCATTACTGCTCTAATGTGAGCATTCAATGACACTTTACAAACACAGATATATAGATTTACGTGTGAGCACCCTTAGAAAATTCTATGGTCCTACTTGACTCAGTTCATAAAAAATGACACTGCCTAGATGTACAAACGATTTTTCTGTTATACTTTTTAGAATAATTGAACTCTTTTCTTGATCACTTGTGCATGGAGGTATTCATTTAATAACTATTTTTGCTCACTTTTCGTTCCTCACAAACCAGACAGGGTTGAAAGATAACTTACATGAGTAAAGGCACAAGAACCAGTGCTCCAAGACAGGCACGGTATTAAACTAATGGGTTTATTCCAATTAGTAGCTGCCAGTGACGCCATCTACAAAATGATTTAGGTATATAATGATTTGGCAATGATTTCAGAGACAAACAAAACAGAATTTAACTCAAGTGAGCAGTAAAATTGAAAAAATGTTTGTGGATATTTTAAGAATACTAGTTCAAAAGTTGGAAGCCAAAGATGATTTTCAAATTTCAATATTGAGTAGCATTTAAATTCAAACCAAATTTGTTGATATTGTTAGAGTACTACTATATGAAGATCAGATTCAAATGTAAGAAATTGGGTAAAATATTCACTGAAAGAAATGTGCTTTATTGCTTTTACAAAAGTAGAAAAAACTGCAATAGATATGACTTTATAATAATACTAAATCTGTATCTTACATGTGTTGAATAAGGTCCATTGCACATAGTCCTGTCTAACATTCAACAAATGGGGTAAAACACACTCTTAGTTTATCATGGGTAAAAATTAGTCCATTTCTTTTTTATAACATATGAACCTGAGGCTCTATAACATTCAACCAATGGAGTTAAGCAATTTTGTGTCCAAATTGCATAAAATGTTTTTGAAACTTACATGACCTCCAAGTGATATACCATGAATACCAAGTGGTCCATAACCTTCTCTCTCACACCAATGTAGTAATGCTAAACATTCTAATATTAACCCTAGCCCCATAATAAATAAATCATTAACATAGAGTAGACTAGAACGCCTGAAATAACAATCCAGTTTTTATATATTAAACAATGGGATAGGGTTTATATGCCAACCCTGTATGTATATAGTATAGTTCAAATGGAAAAATGCGAAAAACGTAAATTTCATGGGTGAAACTCCAAGTAAGAAAAACCTTCTGTTTTTAGTATAATATTATGCTATTTTTTTAGTAACTTTTGAGACTGCTAATCAAACCATTAAAGTACTTACATCTGCTCACTTGGTTTCCTTTGACCATCTTTTAACAGTTAAAGATTTTAAATAATTTTCGCTTCTAATCTAGTGAAGGTGAGATTTGATTGGCATATCCAAATCTGACAACTTCAAGGGAATGAGAGAGGGCAGCCTCATGCATAGCTGTAGCCGTACATGTAGCTTTAGTTTATTGTTTCAAGTGAACAGCATTGTTTTTCACGTATGATTCTTAAGCCATCACTGTTCCACCATGATAGTTCTTTTGACATAGCCTTAAGCTATGCCTCCCTTTAAAATCTATCTCTGACTTATAAGGATACAGTAGGGATTTTGTAATATAATAGAACCTATTCCACTTTCATTGATTAGTGGTTTTGCCATCAATGTTCTTCTTAAACCATAATACTGAAATTGAGATATGATTAACTTTTCAAAAAGGTTTTCTAATCCTTTAATTAATTCTTGGGAATCATAGGATTAAATTGATTGGATTAACAACTTTGTTTGGGAGGTAAGTTTGACAGGATGTCAGCCTGGCTATTCACTTAACAACCACCTGCAGTAAACAACCAGTTTGAACATATTCCTGATCGCTTGCTCAATACAAGTTTAACTCTATGTTTACAACTTACATGATCTCCAGTGCCAGCTAGTTGCAAACAAACTGGTTTTAATCCAACTGATTTCTTCCAATGTAGAGGTACCACCATCTGAAAACTAAATTGACAAGGATCAAAAAAGAGGTTTTCTCTGTGTGAGTAATGCTATACTTTCTGTTGTAGCAATTTTAATCTGATTTTATTCAGATTACTAAACTTGTGTCAGCTTAAAATATTTAGTAATATTGTTAAACAATATATTTTTTATCATATTTGACTTACCAGTGCATATTAGTTCTAAAGGGTTAATGTGCCGATAACACCTAACCCTGATTCCATTAATCCCATATTCTCATTTCTATTGACTTATACAATAACCATTCAAAAAGATCAAAATATTATTACAATGTATCTTACTGAGCAGTTTCTACTTCTTTAGGTGCTATACCAGGCAAATATTTAACAAATGGTGAAGTGAAATGACCTTCCATTATACGGCAATCTTTATACGCTACATCCTAGAAATATTTTAATAAATGTACAGGTTAATAATAAGGAGTTTAAAAATCTCTCTACAATCTCTATACGCTTTTGTTTTTTTACTGGTCTTTGAAAGAAAATTATGATCTAGAAATTTTAAATGTAACAAAACAATAAATATCTCTACAAACACCCCAGTTTTGAATATCATGAAAAAAACATCTGTTTCAAATATCAAGTTACTTGTTAAAATTATGTTGAAGATCTTATCTCGACAAAAATTTTACGGTATATCATAACTACCATATATCACAATATGGCGATATTTCGGTATATTTTAAGCAGGAGATATTATTAACAATATAAATTCCCATACCCGTATTTATCGTGATATCGATATATCTCCCAGCCCTAGCTCACAGTATTACCTTGTCAATATGTATTGGATAATCTCTTTCAACTAAATCTTTACAAGTTTCACGATTTGAAACAATTTTTCTAAAATCCAAAACCCTAAAATGGAATAAAATTTTATAGAATTATAAGCACATAAAATAAGATGAAGAAGCAAATTTGGCATTTCATTATAAGTTTTTTTTTTAACTAACTATTACTAACTACTTTTTATGCTAGTTAATCATCTCAAACCCATTGTTTTATTTCTTACTTCATGACCTAGGCCAGTGCCTTATTAATCCCACTCTTACACACAATATAATTGTATCAATTTGGTTTCTAACGCTATATTTCCCATGGATTTCTATGACTAAATTTTCAATCTTTACCTCTTAATATCTTCAGGCTTGCCTAAACCTTTAGCAAAGAATTTAGTAAAGAGCAAGCTCCTGTATATTTTATCAAATTGACTCATCTTGGTCTTTCACAATCAGAATTCACAAGGACTGGAAGGATTGTAATAAACCATTGTCTACAATATAAGCTTAAATACTTGCATCATGAATATCAATCAGTTTCAAAATTGTCGGTCCTCTTTCCGATTCCTGTCATTTATGACTACGACATATTTAAGGCATACAAGTTCTTATCAAAGTGAAAGTGGCTCCATTTAGGGGCGTTGATTGGAGTTTTGGGCATAGACTAGCCCCTTCCCACTTTCACTGTATAGCTAAACATTGCTATGAACTGATCATATCAATTTCATATGATATATATGTAAATCAAAACTAAAGACAAATCTAATTATGTTACGTTACGTAACCGTCTTCGTAACTGCAGTTTGTAAGATGTAAGCTAAATGCACGTTCAAATCAGAATATTTCAAGATTTCGTACATCTTCTGGTTTCATAAATAGCTGAATTCGAAATCTGCAAAATATTATGCGCAAACACTTCACCAAACCTGAAAATTCTGCATAAGGTTCAACTTTCGCCCTTGAAGATTTTTTTAATTTCCAAAGTCAGCCATTTTGTGAAGCGAAAGTAGTCCAACGGTTAATCTCGTAAATTCTCGTTTTAGATTCTACTCTTTTGGCTTCATTGTGCTGTAATTAGAAATAAAAGCAGTATTAAAGCGAAATGGGCAAATGCTTTCATTATGTTTTTTTATCTCGAAATGTAAAATGTTGATGAGGACGAATCATTTTCGTACTATATGTTCAAGGTCATGTGACTGAGGCGAGATTTCATTCAATTCCGGAAGTTGACATCACGTGATATCAATATTATGATTGCAACTCCACGTGTGTTTTTGTGCAATAATTTGTAATTAGGAGTTTTAGAAAAATTTGTCAGCATGTTACAACCAATTCTAAACGTTCTGAATACTCAGAGAATTGTTTTAGCATCTGGATCTCCAAGAAGAAAACAGTTTCTTGGACAGATTGTGGTATATGCTCTTATTTATTCATTCATCAAACAGACAAAAACTCTTTACAATTACACTATGAAATGATTGAATAATTACAAACAGTTGTACCTAACGACTTAAATATCCATGACAATCAAATTAATCATTTCGTTGCCACCTACAACTAAAAATGCCTCTCTGACTGTCAAACGCTTTTATAAAGAACTCCAGGACAAATTCGCTAACATCTATACCAAACGTTTGGTGACTGCTTACAAAATGAGTAAAAATTGGAAATATGATGAGTGATGTTCTTGTCCATGGTAGATTAGATCCCCTTTCATTAACTCCCTGAAACAATCGCTTTGCATTTCGGAATTATTTGTAAATCTTTAGATAACCTCTTAACAAATTGATGTATTCGGATGCTGACATCCATAGTTTCTAATTGTTACCTTGGCCAGTTCTTCTATAAGAGAGTATCTCTTATAAATCCTTGTACTATCAATATCAAAACTGCTCTTGGCTTTCTGTCAAAATTAAAATAATGTCATAAAAGAAAGAAGGCTCTGACTGGGACAACAGGCACAAAATAATGTAAACAAAGCAGTTTATTTGATCATGAAAGTCTGCTTTACCACTAATGCAATTGAAAAAATTTATTTTGAATAGGGCATATATAAAGAAAAATGACACTAAAAATTCAATTCTGTTGGAGCTCTGAGTTACTATCGATGTCATAATTACCATCATCAGTCTTATGAATATCTTTTCACTTGCATTATTTTGATTTTTTACTTTATATTTTTTTTATATAGGGCCTATTTATTTATCTTTTGCAGGGTTTATCATTTGAAGTTATTCCATCCTCATTTGAAGAAAATCTAGATAAATCATTATTCAAGCAACCCTCTGATTATGTAAAAGAAACAGCTCGTTTAAAAACAATAGAAGTTGTTGACAGACTGAAAACTGATCAGGTAATACTGACTTAACAAACAATAAACACTTACAGTTACATATACAGATACCAGCTGGTAGAAAGAATTCCCATGAACCTGAATAGTATCCTTGTAAAAATGGTTGACTCTTTTCTTTCTTTTGTGTTGACGATGTTGATCATTAAATGCATTGGATAGTGGATGCCCTAACCTTTGTAAGAGAACATTAATTCCCCTTTTTTTCAGCGAATACCAGATTTAGTAATAGGAGCTGATACAGTGGTAGCTATGGATGATAAAATTTACGAAAAACCCAAAGACAGACAAGATGCTATTAACATGTTAAAAAGGTGGGGTTATACTATTCCAGTTGCAGAATTCTTTTAAAGTTGGCTTATTTATTGTCACTATCGTTGGCATTCACAACCACAAGAGACCACACTTTCATTTCTTGAAGAACTTATAATCAAAATATGTCTATAGTGTGCAATTTAAAAAGGAAATTTTGTAGAAATGTTGACTCAAAACTTGTAAGAACATTTAAGAACCTTGAGTCACATTTCACAAACAAAATTAGGATCAATCTTTGATCAAGTATGGAATTTCTGTAGAATGTAGAATTTCTGTAAAGTAGAACCTTGAGTTATAGACTGGAGAGTTGAAAGTTACTAGACTCAACTAAACAGATTAACCTGATAGATAGTGATTGGTATATATGTATTCCATATTCCATTCCAGTTTCAACAATCGAAGTCATTCTGTTTATACAGGAGTTGTTCTTGCCACACCCAAATCTTCTAAATGTAGGTACTTCTAGTTGTTGACCATTTTGTGTGTACGTTTAGTGTGATTTGCCCGTTATGCATTCTTTCATATTCGTACATTCTTTCGGTTCATATGACAAATTGTCCATGGCAGCTGGTTCAAACTGGTTCATTTTTCATGCTGGTTCATATTTCATACTGGTTCATATTACATACTGGTTCATCTTTCATACTGGTTCATTTCTCATACTGGTTCATCTTTCATACTGTGTCATTTCTCATACTGGTTCATATTTCATACTGGTTCATTTCTCATACTGGTTCATGTTTCATACTGGTTCATTTCTCATACTGGTTCATCTTTCATACTGGTTCATTTCTCATACTGGTTCATATTTCATACTGGTTCATTTCTCATACTGGTTCATATTTGTTTTTTTATTATTCATATTTCATTTCGGTTTATTTTTCAGATGTAACATTTGGTGAAGTAATAAATGATTATAGATATAATATATTTCATGAATGTACAGAAGTAATTATGAGTGAAATACCAGATAATGTTATAGAACAGTATGTAGATACGGGAGAGCCTATGTAAGTACAATTGTTGTTTTAATCCACACTTATTTATCGATAAATAGTTTCAAATTTGTTGTAAATAATGGGTTGAAGGACACAAAGTAATGTATATTTATGTCAATGTCTCTTTATGTCGGTGTGTACAATCAAATTTGTATTAATGATTGCCCATAATCAGTGTGATCTAAATCCCATCAATGCAATTTCACCTCTATTCAATGGCTACCTGATGAGGCGGCCAGGGTGCTTTCCAACATTTATTTGTTGTATTGTCTGTATGTGCCCCACCATGTTTGAAGGTTACATAAAATCTTTTCATTTGTTCTAACAACTGTGATATTATTTCAGGGACAAGGCAGGTGGTTACGGAATACAATCTCTTGGTGGGTCGTTAGTGAAAGGAATAAATGGAGATTTTTTTAATGTTGCAGGTTTTCCTGTTCATACATTTTGTAAAAATTTATATTCTCTATATGCTAGCAATAAATAGACTTTTTAACATTCTAGTTTGTTTATTCAAAGGGATGCTTATTCACTATTTTCGATTAGGCTCAGATAGTGTCCAAAAATGGAGGACCTGGAAAACGAAACAAAGACTAGAATTATGCTGCTGTCTTCGCAAAATTTTCGTCATTATTGTCAGTCATTAACCATCGTCATGGTAAAGTTAAGCCTTCAGATTTATACTGATCAAGACTTGGGACTAACAGAAATTCAGTTGAAAATCTGAAGTTTGCTAATGTCGCTGTCCAGACATTTTCCCTACTTCATAAGCCCAATCAGTTGCAGAAAAAACTTCATAGCAGACGTAAAACCTCATTTCATTCATTGTTCAAGCAACTGGAAGCTGTAGTCACAATAACTACACATAGAACAAATGAAATGAATGGAGTCCTACTTTTCTGCACCATGTGGGCTAATGAAGACGGGAGCCATGCAGGGTGCAATGAGGGAAACTTTGCAAGGACAGCGGCATTAGCCTGCTCTTCTTCGATTTCCATCTGTCGATGGATCTTTAACGTGCACAGCCTGTAGCACACAGGGTCTTGATTTATTGTCCCATCCGAATGACTAGATACAAATAGAACAAGGAAATTAAGCAAACAAAATACTTTATTGAATACCGTTCAGTTACACTCAAAATTAACAGAAAAAAAACCTGGTTTGGTATAAATTATCCTCAAATGATTTCAATGGACACAATATCAATCTATTATAGTCAACGCTTTGACGTGACTTAATTTCTGTCCATTGATTGGTTTCCAGAGATCAAGTCATTTCAAATTGACCAATCAAATATAAGCAAACAATTCACATTCATTAACCCTTTCAACACCTTTTTTGTTCTTGATTTGAGGCATAAAAGGGTTAAGGAACATTTGGTACCAAAATTATAATTCTTATTCAAACCTCTTTTCAGTCTTGGATCAAATTTTAACATATTTCTCAATGAGTAAGTGTCTGGATGATGTTAACAATCAGTCTGGAATATCCAGTGATCTTTGTACATCAGCAACTCAGGTCATCTTAAGATGCAATCATACCCAAAATTTATTGGGATGGCACTGGATGTATCACATTGAAAATACTCCTATACAAAATATGTTAAAATCTACTGACTTCACTCTAGCATACAACATTCATCATTGATAAAACAACCTAACAAAAATATTCAAATCATAATTTTGGCATTTAAAATGGACAACAAACCATATAAAAATTAGCAACAAAGATAAAGATAATAATAATAATAATATTCAAATTTAAATTCTAATCTACACATACATCAAATACATCTAATAATAATAATAATAATAATAATTAATTAATTTCTAGAGGCATATTCCAATAATCCACAACCAAATTAGCCAAAATTTATGTGGTAGAGACATACAAATAAGAGTCTATAATGAAATTTTGGCATGAAAAGTTGCACAGAATGAGTGAAATATGCCTTTAGTAATAACCCAAGTACTAGGCCTGACTGGCTTTCAAATGAAAAACAAAACAGCAGACAAATAAAATTCATTTAATTAAACTCGAAGAATACAACGAATTTCAGCAAAATTGACATAATCTTTTGAAGAGACAGAATTAAATTATCTTTTTCTTTATTTTATTCGTTATGAATAAATTCGTTATAATTATATTTCAATCCGAGGATAAGAAAGTCACAGCAAAATTATATTATATTAACATTCTTCTGATTCAAATATTCAGTATCTTTATAAATATTTATATATGGCTGGGCATTATCTGCCCAACAAAATGAAATTCATGTATTCATTGCTATAAAATGCCTAATCTTATTTTGATACTTAAAAATCTGAAGACGTAAACACCTTGGAAATATTTAAAATTTAGATTTATCTTGAATTTTCAGAAATATCTTGAATTTTTACAAATTCAGAAATGTAGATCTAACTTTTGCGGAATGTTTTTTTTTATAGAAAAACTAGAGACTGGTCCAAAAACTCAACAGAATGAAAACAAAATGCAGATAACTAAATAAAAATCAAACAATTTTGTGAAATATGATTTAGGAGTGAAATTGGTGGATGTCCACCAGTTGTATTCAGTAAAACTGACAGTTGTAACTAAAGCCCCAAACAAACCAAACCAAATTTAATTGCTCCAGCTTTGAAAAATTCAGAATTTCATGAGGCATCTTTTTTAAAAATTTGGCAAGTGAATCAAAGTATCTGAAATTTAATGGAATTTCAAAATTTCAGATATTACCTTATTTAGAAGCATACTTCACAAATTGTTCGAATGTACAGAAAACATAATTTCGATTGAACAAAAGCCTTGAGTAAACTGGTTAAAACATGGTTATTATGCAGGATATATGGTTTAAAATAAATTAACAAGAAATTAAACTAGTGGAATGGCCAGGGCTCAGAAATGAAGTCTATTTTTTATTTTCACACAAAAATTTTGAAAAGAATCATCAAAATTTAAAGAATCAACACTTCTGTCTTTAGTTGTAATGACATGGAATTTTGACCTTTGATCTTTTTCTGCAATTTGCAATAGGAATCATAATTTTGTGAAATTTTTGATTAAAATTCAGAATGAAGCCAAGTTGGGTGTTTCCTTGAATTACATTACGACTTTTGATTTCATGTTGCTAAAATTTATTTTGGTTTCATTCCAAAGATCGATAAATCCAATTTGAAATGACTTCATTTCCCATACGAGTGAAACTCAAGGCAAGATAAAAATATATGAGATGAGGGGAAAAAAATCAGAGATTCAATTGAAATAAATTAAAATAAGATTTTTCATATCAACAATTATAAGGTCATCTAATTCAATAATTTTGCGTTTTCGCTTTTCGTTGAAATTCAGAAAGAAGGCACAAAAACTGACAGTCCTCTACTGGATGTTTGTTGAGGCATAAGTCACTTAAAAATGGGCCAGTTTGATTTACGACAAGTCACAATTTGAGGATTGGAGGCAATCAAACATGGCCGTTATCAGCAGGATGACACAGTAGCTGAGTTGCCGTAGCAACCAAAATAACATGGCAACAGATGACATGGGTAACCAATTCAAATAACTTATTTTACATGTGCCAATTTTTTTTACTATTTCCAAGACAACGGTCATTTTTTTCCTGAACAATTTTGTGCTGAGATGAAAATGAATGAAATTGTGATGATAATGTATTTAAAAACAACAAAATTTTAAATTTTAACAGAAAAAGTATAAACAATAAAGATCAGATCTCAAAGATATTTTACTAGACGGTTTAAAATTCTTTCAGCTTTTTAGGGTAGCCTCTTAACTCTTTATGCCACTCCACTAAGACTTAAGCAGGTCATGTGACTAATTAAGGAAGTTAATCAATTTTTAAATTTTATCCCAGATTCAAACATTAGGATGAGATTGGGACAAAAGTCAAAAATAATCATGAAACCATAGCAACCCTTGACAACCATTGAGTATTTGAACTTTGCAATTTGATTGGATAGATCAATGCCTTATCTATCTTAACATTTAAAGACCCGTACTAATACCAGAGCAACCAATTACGGTACTGAAGTCAACTGTTTACTCTAATCTGATTGGTTGTCAAATGTCACATGATCTCATGATTGAAGCATCACAATACTGCATTTGATAAATTAAATTATAGACAATAATAATCATAAATTTTACAAGCAGATTTTCTGAGTTCACCAGGGCAGACAGATTAACACATTCTGAAAATTTTTAACTGAAACTTCCATGTCTGAATTTTATGATGCAAAATTCTCCCACAATTAACATCTTTTCATTTCCATAACGATAATTCAGAAATGCATCAGTCTGTCGACCCTTGCTAGCCTCATCTGTGCCATGTTGACAGTATTATAAAGAAAAGGGGCAGATAATTCATAGAATATATTCAAGGAAGAAGAAAAATAAACATAAGAATAATAATAACATATATACATGTAAAAACAACAACTAGATAATAACATAAATCGGATTCAACTGAAGTTACAAATTTAAAAACTTAACATTGCAAATAATTCAACATTTGATACACGAACACGAGTTACAAGCTTATTTTAGGTTTCTATGGCGTCACTATATATCTAGACTTTTACAAGCTCTGTCATTTACGACAAATTGATCAAACTTTGTCACAAGTTGTCTCAATACCATCAAAACATTAGTCACAAGGTAACATTTTACAAACTTTTCCCTAACTCGAACTAGAAGCGACAAAAATGTTCAGTCACTGTCACTATTAGACAATATTCTTCAGATCTCATTCACTGGTAAAAAATTAAATATTTAGATAAAAAAAAAAATCAGTCCATGCTCAAAACTTGATTTCAAAATGCTTATAATAAATAACTGAGCATAACTTTGCATAAATTATAATTTTACGAAACTTCATTCCAACCTTCATTATTTTTCATGTAATTAGCATAATAACGATCATTATATTATATCATTATTATCAGTATAAAATTTTACGGTAATTTTTCACGAGCAAATTCACTTTAAACAAGCAATCTTAGTTTCGGATAAAAGTTATATAAAATTCAACTAGAAATAGAACATTTCCTCTTTGCTAATTAGTTTGCAAGATATCTACTAATATTCCTCTTCAAACATACAATAGTATCAAGTTGTAAGATATAAAATAGCTCACTTTTTACATGTCTACTTTAGTCTAAATGCAAAAAAAAATTAAAAGTACAATCAAATTTTAGAAAATATCTTGCAAAAATATCGTTACAATACCAAAAGCAGGAGAATTGTGCCAACAACATAGCAAATATCATCCATGATGTTTTTACAAAAATGCATGGACTTGGAATGAAGCTAAAAAATAGTAACAAACACTCTGGGTCATTTGTATTATAAATTTACATTAGATATTTGCCGATCAACCCTAATTCTACTGGCTTTCTTTACTTCAATTAAATATTTTTAACTTGATTTTAACAAGATAGAAGAATATATTAAATCATGAGTAAAATATCCTTT